CAGAATATTCGTGATTTATTTCTAAAACAAATGCCCCTAAAAACCATACTTCTTTCAGTTTTTTTGGGAAAAATGAACCCATTTGGGCTGCACTTTACGTATTAATTGTCCATGATCACACACTCACACGTTTAGAGGGTTAAAAGGTAATTACAGGGCGTTATGGAGATGTTATTTGCTTTATAAATATGGCGGCTGATTACGATTATTCAATTACAATATGTTTCGTTTTACAGCCGATGCACATTGTTGACCAATCACAAATGTGATATTAAAAGCGGAGGAGTCGTCACCTGCGCATGCGTCAGATGGCCATAGAGCGTCATTGTTTTCAAAAAAGTTTCAATGAATAAGGTCAATTATACAAGAAATATTCAGCATCGATTGACTAGCGTAGTACGAATACGGCATTCCTCAATGAGTCATATGTACACAGTTTTCTAAATTCAACATAAAAAGAGTCAAGTTCAAGATAACTAATGATGTTTCATGGGTACTTAGACCATTGTGATCACCTCTAGCTAATACTCACAGTCAGCTGGTGCACAAGTGATACCACCTGTGGCGATACTAAGAAAAATGCGATATTTACTATATGGGGACCGCCATCTCGAAAACGGCATGAAACTAAATAAATGAAGAACATAGAACACTTTTCAAGAGTATTTTATTAGCAGTTGGCATATACTTGATAATTTGTTTAAGAATCAACATTGGAAATTACGAAAATAAAAACAATTTACTACAGCTTACGAAAATACCCCTCAATGTTCAACACGCGCTGGTATTATATGTTTCTCTCTGGGTCTGTTACACTTATTTGTTTTCTTTTAACTATTTTCTGGCATATTCAATGTTACGAACTACAGAATATGGCGTGAATTGTTGGAAGAAAATTCCTAATTGTCAGCGCGACCACTCGATTACTGAGCGGCGTGGTCAGTGTATGCATCTTGTGTGAATTGTTGTTCGTATTTAAATTGCTTATCACTGTGCGATGCTTGCGTGAATTCACAATAATTTGCAATTTCGGAATTATTGAACGCCACAATGTATGCATATATTCCACATGATCACCCAGACACACCAATAAAATTAAGGGCACCTTCTTGGCGTGCAACTTTAAATGTTACCTATCTGTAGATATCAATATGTAACGACACATTTGATTGGTGAGATCACACATTTACATTATTCCGTATAAAGCAACGAGTTTGATTGGCGATAGTTTAAATGTATATCACTCTATATATTAAAAGAGTTGACATAGTTACACAACTGAAAGAGAGCAACGTTGGGCGCGGTGGTTAAATTCATGACGTCACAATTCGAGTAGGTATATTCTGTGACGACAGCTTAGAGTTTCGATTATACCGTCATTACACTTCAACATGACTGGAACGCGGAGTCAAGGTCTTGTCAGCTGGGTTTTGATAAATATTCTTCTAGTTAGAAAGGTAAGATACCTTAAGTCTAGAATTTACAATTGTAATGTGATCAATATGCTAGTTATTTTCTTCCGTTTGGCACACTGAGATGTTATATCGACGTGTCCGCTATATTAGTTTTCTGTAGTAACAAAACTCGTACATTATTTGTATTCAGGTACTAAGTGAAAAGATATGCGTAAAATATGACTTCAATGAAAGTACCAATGAATATGACGAATCAATTTACAAGTAAGTATTTTATTTTCAATGTGTGCGTTTTTAAGTATGTAATTACAATGTATGGTCGTTGCTACATTTTATAGTATAATGCTTAGTAATCAATTGCGAATAATACGAAATGTTTTGACCAGAGTCGACAGGATATTTTAGAAATACTGACCAGCCAAAGTTGCCCCCCGAAAAGTTGATATTAAGTTATGAACTTTGAACAACGCACAGGCAGTGAACATTTAAGGAAATTATTTTATTTTAAGGGACTACAGAAATTGGATTTTAAATTAAAGTGACACAAGGAGTATTCGCCCACGGTCAATGAACTCGGCCGCGTTGTCACGCAAACCAGATATCATGGAAAATATTCGTCCGAGAAGAGTAAATAAGACAATGGAAATAATTTGAAATTTGGCTCACGCTTTTTTGCTCGTCTAAAGTAAACACATTTTCTATATGTCTTAGTTATACGCTGGATGTTATTTCCGTTTATTTCGAATATAATGTATTGTTTCTTTCACAAGCAGTGAATTTTAAACCTACTGAATGTCACTGCATCTTTGAATCCACTAAAATTAAATGCTGTAAATATGTTACCTTCTCCAGAACGTGTTATTTCATCGTAAACATCAATGTATTCACTGTCGATTTCTCAAATGATAGCCTACTTTAATTGCAATAAATAGGATTTTTTTACCCAGATCTTCATATTTCGGCTCAACGACCCTTTTTTTATTTTCAGATGTGACTATTACGCGATATGCTGTGAAGGGGAGTGTTGTTATCTTTGGGATGCATGGTGGTTTTGGTGAGTAAATCTTGAAAAAATTATGAATAATTTTTTGTTCATTTGTTTTCACTCAATTAAATTGTGCGCAAAACTCTTCCATACTGTGTAATCAGTCCTTTAAGGTAGAATGTCACTCGTGTGTTGTTTTATATGCACAGACTTACCCGTACATACGGCCTTGTTCATATCCCTCCAGGCCCATTTCACTAGGCTATGTTTCGTGGATTTGTCATAGTTTCGCGATAATAGTCCAACAAACGTTGACAGTGCTGACAAAATATGTAACATGTTTCTGACGAAAGTCGGTTGTCTATATCCGTTCACAGGGTTGGGACAGGAATTGCTACCCTGATACTATTGGTTCTCGTCATTGCCATTGCCATCGTGTGCTGCGTACTTTGTAAAAAGAGCAAACCACAGTCATGTGACATCAGAATCATTCCACGTTCCAATGAAAAGCAAACGTCGACCTCGAGCAGGCAGAATATTCACAATAATGACATCTCTCGCGGTGAGTTTCTCCTATATAATAGTAAAAATCAGCTTTATTTGCCGTCTTGCGATTGATAGTCTGAATATATAGGAATTACGACAAATGTTTACGTAGGTGTCGTTGCATGGGTGAGGCGACAATAAAGCACGCAATACACGCAAAGGATATTGGGCAGGTGCCTGTCGTAAGCGCAGGTTACGACTACCCCGATTTAACGTTTATTAAAATGTTGTCACAATTCATACATATTTCCCATGATTTGCAAGTTAGCAATCGTTTTAGCTGAAGTTGCTTGTTTGTTCTTGTAAATTAGCAAACAATCACCCAAGAACAATCAAAATAATTTCCTGTATATTCAGACGATAATATATCACATAATGCTCACAAGACAAAGCCAACTCAATGATTTTATTGTATTGCGGTCATTATTAAAACATACAATGATGGCTTGCTCTGTTTATTACGTGTCATACACACGTTTATAGATCAGGTAACTAAAATGTAGTCAATTATTTGTATATATCTACATAGATGGTGACATGGACGGGTACTCAATGGAAGATTTAAATATGGTTAATGAAAATGTATAATGGATACCAGAATGGGCGGAGAGAAAGAAAATATGGGTTATTACGGAAAATGGACATGTAAAAGATGGCACTTGCCAGTGTGGCAGTGTAAGCTTCCCATCGCGGGTGCCCCATGGATTAACACACAAATCTAGTGATTGTGATTTAGGTGGAAATTGATCACTGTGACCGAGTGGATTTGTTTTGAGGAAGTTTCTTCATGTTTTGTTTAATATATACATACATGCATTCATTGTATCGAAGAACATTTTGATTATGATAATTAGTTATTTGAACCAACGAATTCAAAGAATCTCTATACGCTAATCAGCCTCAAATATATGGCTTCCCAAAACCTGGTAGATCTTTACAGTAACGCATAGCATAGATGGATGATTCATCTTATTAGCCATGCAAATATATTCAAATGTCACAAACTGTGGGCCGACCTTACTGAAACCACTGCTAAAGACGTTCCATTCATTGAACAGTTTAAATACCACACGTGATCTCCAGATGATTGATACATGTTTATATTGATAGCATTTTCAGTCATCCAATCAGATTTACGAAGAATAGCTGGCTAAGTTCGCTGTGCGTTAATGGTAGAGATCTGTGAAAGGGAGAGAATTAATATGCATATATTCAAGGATATACGTTCATTAATTGCGCAGTGATCATTCAAGTAGCTTTCCTTCTGGTATGTGTTTTATGTACTACAAATGAATAAAATAAATAAGAACAAGCTATCCCTCGTATTCAAGTTGTATGTGTTTCTGTGCAGTACTACATAGAATAATCTTGCAGTATGTTCCTTTATTGCCAGGTGCATCAATGCACCCGATCACTTGGGCCTTATTGAGAAGAATACAACTTAAAAGAGAGTTTTAACACAAATGGGATAGAAAGATTGTTTTTTTTTCTCGGTTGAACAGATTTAAATACACTGCGGACAATTAGAGATGTGTAGATAGACGACTTGTGTATCAATAATCTCCCCATACATTGGAAGGATGAATCATTGTTGAGGAGATGTTGTGGGTGATACATAGTTGGAAAGGTGTTGTGGGTGATACATAGTTGGGAGGGGAAACTGCTGTGGGTGATACATAGTTGGGAAGGTGTTGTGT